GGTAAACTCACACACACAACGCATACACAAAGACTCGAACCCAAGACCTCTTAGTTGGAAGCATAAGCTCTCAACCAACAAGCCAAGGTGAGCTGTGTAAAATGTCTAATAAGATATCACTAATATTGAACACATTAAACAATACCTGTTAACATATGTACAAAAAGACAGAATAATAAAATGTAAAAAGAAGTGAAGCTCACTGTTTTGGGATTTCAGACGGGCAGGTTTGAGCTTGTAGTGGAAGTTTCAAGTGGGGAACAGTCCACGTGAAGTCACAGGGACAACTTTCTTTTGTTTTTATGTGAACAGATTCTCTTTTTTTTCTTTTTAAAGGGAAGAAGAAGGGGAAATCGGCTGAGGTCGTGGAATAGGGGTGGAAGATCGCTATAGGGGCCTGAAAGGGAGTAAGAATGATGTGCAGATGCAGAAATCAGCTACTTAAAAAGGTTTCGATAGCTGTCATAAAGTCCGCTGGGTCTGAAAGCTCCGATCTCCAGAAAAAGGAAGCAGGATTTGGAGGTATGGTTGGCTAGAGCTAGTTGTGGTTCGATCGTGGTTTGGAGCGGGAAGGAGGAGGAGATGTGGTCGGACACGGCTCAGGCAACTATAGTAGAGGTTTGACGGGAGAGACCTGATTTGCGGAGAAGGACAGGCATAAGAAGGTTGGGAGCTGGCTTCAGAGCGGGGTCGAACGAGAACAGTGAGACCAGAGAGCTAGCCTCTACCTAAGCCCCTTTTTGGTTGTCTCAACTCTCCCATTTTTGTTGGAGTTTTCCCTTTTGTTTTGAGGTTTTATAGGTTTATGTTTACTTGTAATCATTTTTTATTTAATATACAGACTTAGTCCCAAAAATTTCCCAAAAAAAGAAGCAGGGATTTTATGCAAGATTTGGTAGGCTGACTGAACGAGGTAAGCTATTAAATATGTTTAGATATTTCATTTGACTCTTGCTCTAATTTTATTTCTTTTGAATTAACATTAATGATAATATGCTATTATCAATATTATTATTAATGTGAAATTGCAATCGTGTGATGAATTCAGAAGGAAATGCCTTCATTTGCGTGTTGAATGCTTCGTTTAACCGCGTCAAAATTCGGTAACCGCGTCAAATTCACCGAATATTGAAATTAGACAAATTAATAGAGCATTCAAAGTATTTCTGATGTCTCGGTTCAATGACGCAGTCCGTTTTACGATCGGACTTTGTTTGGGCGACGCCGAGATCTAATTTTCTCAAAATAGGTGTTATCATATTAGAATCATCTCGGATGCAATGACGCTGTCCGTTCATGATCGGACATCATGCCGTCTCCGTAGAGACTAATTTCCTCGATATGCATGACTTCGCATCATATTCGAATCACCCTGAGATTTACACCACTACCTTAGATGATCCAAATTGATTACTCTAAATATTGGCAACATTCTGGATGCAATGGCACTGTCAGTTTCACGTTCATATGTCATGTCGTATCCATAGAGACAAATTTCCTTGATATGCGTGCCTTCGCATCATATTCGAATTGACTCAAGATTTACACCACCACCTCCGATGATCCAAATTAATTAAATAGAATACATACTCTAATTGTCAGCGATGTTCTTGATGCAATGGCGTAGTCCGTTTCACGATCGGATGTCATGTCGTATCTGTAGAGGCAAATTTCCTCGATATACGTGCTTTCGCATTATATTTGATTCGCCTTGATATTTACACCACCACCTCAGATGATTCAAATTGATTAAATAAAATGTATACTCTGAATGTTTGCGATGTTCCGGATGCAATGACACTGTCTGTTTCACGATTGGACATCATGATGTCTCTGTAAAGGCAAATGTTCTCGATATGCGTGCATTCACATCATATTCGAATTGCCTCGAGATTTACACCACCACCTCAGATGATCCAAATTGATTAAATAAAATGCATACTCTGAATGTCGACAGCGTTTCGGATGCAATGGTGCAATCCGTTTTGTGATTGGATTTTGTTTGGGCAACCTCGAGACCTCTTCTCCTTTATATGCATGTTTTGCCTCAAAATTCACGTCACCGCTCTGGATGATCCAAATTGAATATAGAAAATATATTTCTTAAGTATGTGCATTATTCCTATCACAATGGAGAAATCTATTTCACGAATAGACATTATTTTGACAGCGACAAGGTCAATTTTCCTCGAAATCAACGCCATTGCTTTGATATTCATGCCTCCAATATGGATGCTTCAAATTGAATAAACAAAATACAGTTTTTAGATTCTGACAATATTTTGGACGTAACAATGAAGTCTAATTGTCTATCCGACATCTTTTGATCTATTTTGCGCTTTAATTTTGGGTGTCGATCGTCCCCTTTGACCGATCTCATCCAATTTGACTGCGAGGGACCTCGACCCAGCAAAATTCGTTGTCTTGACCGCAATGACACCGTCTATTTGGCAATTAGAGCTCGTTTGACCCTTCAAATAACATGTGGTGCCAAGGCACCTATAGCTTTATTCATCTATTTGGGTCCTTTCTCACGTGGTTTGAGGTATAGGGGTCAACACTTGCCTAGATGATACTTATATTTGTGTGTTTATTTTTTGCACTCATGATGTCATATTTATTTTATGTTTGTGGACCAGAGATTGGAGTGAAAATTCAGATATGTATAATTTAATATATATACTCACACTTCACCTCAACATATGTGCATTTTTATATAACTGCTCTTTTATATTCTTGCAAAGTAGGAAATAATGTAAATATAAAGGCAATGATATAAATGTAAATATTTTAGATCTTTCTACAGCTAGATTGAATTATATAGTGTCAAGAGTTATAAAAGATTAAAAATATTTATTTATATACATATACTAGCTCCAAAAAGAAATAATTCTTTTTCTTTCGAAGATCATTATCATTTAGAATACTATAAAAGATCATGCATTCAAAAGTTTGAAGACAAAAATAAACAATCATATCCAAATCTACTTTATGTATGAATAGAAATCCAATTTTTTATAGCTTTCCCACCTTTTATTTACAACAGATCCTAATTTGTACACCGAAATTATAATTGAATGTGTTCTTTTATGTACATTATTAGTCGTGCACCATTTTATTACGTGATCTCATACATATAATATAATTTTTTTTATGAAGTTTTCTAATATATACTTTCTTGTTTTTTTAGATAGTGTGAAAAAAAAAAAAAAAGTTAAGAGTCTTAGCGACAAGGCTACTTCAACGCACCAACGACCATTAATTTTTTTGGTTGCCATTCGCTTTAGCTTTGATGGTTTCTAGCTAGCTAGCATCTATTTTATTATTTTTATTTTGTAGTCTTTGTGTACACACACAAAAGATAGACCTTTAGTTCAAGTAGTATACTATTTAATTTCCACCTTAGATGTCTCAAGCACCAATCTCAACAAGCATTACTATAATAAATTAAAAACATATAGATATATTTAATATATGTAATTAATTTACTTGCCAATTTTTTTTATCTAGCTTATATTGATATTAAAAAAAATAACAAAAAACTTTAGTGCATATAAATAAATAAGCTTCTAAATAATAATTTATGATCATTTCAAGTTTTATATTGAGTTACTAGTTGAATTAAAAATATTTATACATTCATAAAAGTATAAATAATAAACAAACCAAATAATTGCTTTCTTTCTTTCTTTCTTTTTTGTCATTTCTATCCAAATTTCATACTCATTTCAAATTCATTCAATTATAAAAATAACAAGTATTAATTAGAACAAAACAAAACAAGCATCCATCTATTTACAAATAATATCATTTTTCTTATACCCCTACTCATATATCTTTCCTCCCTTAATAAATCTAAAGTAATTAAACAAGGTTCAAGAGTTCTCTAATAGATCATTGAATGTTTGAAGAGAGAGAGAGAGAGAGAGATTAAGGTTTTGTTTGGGACGACTTTATTACTGTTTCTTAAAGCAGCTATTTAGTACAAAAAAATTTTAATTTTTGTACTAAAAAGCTGTTTAAGAAAGCCGTTCCGAACGAAGCTTAAGATACATACAAACACCCACTTGGAGGACCCTAAGCAATAAACATTCATTGATGATTAAAATACAAAAAATAAGCTTATGCACATGTTTAAATTATAATTATCTTAAACCTAGTGGTGCACATGCAAATGACAAAGAGGAGACAGAGCTGAGAGCTAATGAAAAAAAAAAATTAAATACAAAATAGAAAGCAAGAAAAAGGTTCCTATCATCTTAGTTGTTTGTTCACTCCATGTGCATTCATGTGGTGGGTTGCTTCCATTGGACCCACCTCTCCTATCTCTCACCCCCTTCACCAGCTAACCCTGACAATCTCTTCCTTCTTCCTTCTTCTTTCTCCCTTCTTCCTTCTTGTCAATGAAGACCTTCTCTTGAAGAAAAGCCATAGCCTTCATAATCACAACCGTTGGAATAAATTATTATCTTTATAGATCTTTTTTTCAATAAGAATTCAGATTTGACTGACGATTAGTTCTGTTAATTTTATGAGTGAAGGATTTGGAACAATCTTTTAGTAAAAGAGAGACTCTGCCAGCACTCATAAATTCTTTGCTTCTTCTTTTCCCCAACCTTTGATTCATTCTCTCCCACCTCTTTCCCGATTTATGATTTTTTGCATTTATAAGCATGAATATATTTTATTTTATTTTATTAGTGTTGTCTAATTGAAAAATATTAATTCTTTATATTAAAAATAGGAGTTTAGTTACGTTCAAACAATAATGAAAAGTTCTTCAGCTATTTTGTAATTTTTATTTTTATGAAATAGAAATTGCATGTAATTTAGAAAAAAGTTCATAGAACTAAAAATACTTTTTATATTTGCAAATTCTAGAATTTTCAAGTTGCACTTGAAAATTTAAATGTTTAATAATTTTTTTTTAAGAATTAAGTGTGAAAATATAAATTTCAATCTTTGAATGAATAGAAATAAAATTCTCAGCCAAGCTACCTAAAAATATGCAATCATAATTTTATTTATTTTTTAATTAGGACATAATCATTTATTTCCCTACTCTTTTGCTTTCACCCCCTAACTTTTTTATATTAGTTTTCCAAAAAAAAAATTATATTACTGCCCGCCGCTCACACATTAAAGGGAGCATAGGAATTTGGCCTTTGACGCCTGTGTGTCAGAGCTCAAGATTTCCTTCTGCACTGCACCGGACCCTCCTTTCTGTCAGAAGGATCTCTCTCTCTCTCTCTCTCTCTCTCTCTCTCTGTGCGCGCGCGCCACCATGAACAGCAAGAAGAAGAGAACAATTGCAAACCCTAACCCTAGAAACCCCATGCAAGCCTTTCACTTCCTCCGCTCCCTCTCCCGCATAAATCTCAGTACCGCGCCTTTCCATAAGCGCTGCAGAGCCATCAGGAGAGCAGCCTATGCCTCCATGGCACGCTCAGCTAGCCCAAATAGAGCATGGAGCCATGCCGTCCTCTATCACCTTCACCGCCGCCGCCATCGGCCGGTTCCCGAGCAGGCCCGTTGCAAAACCGATGAAAATGATGCTCTACGCAGGCTCTTGCCTGGCGGTGAGGCAATGGATACCTGTAGATTGCTTGAAGAGACCATAGATTATGTCCAGCGTTTAAGAACGCAGGTAAAGCTCATGCAAGAGATAGTGGATTCTGTGAAAGATGATGCAGTTCATGAAGAAAAGAGGCAAAAGGAAGAAATTTGAAGGATGGAACGAAGAGAATGGAACGAAGAGATATGTTTATATAAAATGGTATGATAATCGATCTTTTATATTGGTCAAACTTACAAGTCTTCATGATCAATATGAAATATATAAATTGTTCTGTAAATATTCCAAAGTTTGATATATTTATGGAGCTCGATCGATCTGTAAATTAATTGTTTGTGAATGCTTTTATGTTGGTTGATCAGATTCTTTTTTGTGTCTGTATTACTTTATTTTTGTGCTGTATTTTGTATTGTTTTCGGCTGATGATTTCGACTATCTAATATATTTATTAGCCGTTGCTTCGTGCTGTTTTTTCTTTCACTAAATTTGTTCGAAGTTCGCATTTTAATTGATCGAAATTTAGAAAAACTATAGGATGAACTGTTAATTATGCTCAGATCAATCTAATGATGGAGATTCATAACGTAATTAATTAATTTGTGGAATATTTCAGAGTTGCAGACGATTTTTTTTTTTTTTTGAGGAGATTTCAGATGTTTTTTTTCTTAGATTTAGCTGATAAATCACTACAGAAAAAGACTTATGAGTAAATCCATAGGGAAATCTAAGCATTGGGTGATCAGTGGGAAGGAAACTTAGTTAAGTTAACAAATTAGTTAGTGGAAAGAAAATAATAAAATCAACAGCTGGGCAAGCTTTTTCGTGGGACCAAAGCATGCAATTCATGGGGATATTTGAGAGCTATATATCTATGGATATAAAGGAAGAAGCAAAGAAACCCCACGAGGAAGGTATAAGCTTTTAGGGTTTCTGCTTGTGGTTTTTCAGCCACCCACCAAGTTATTCGTCCTTATACCTAGCTTTATAGCCTTTGTGGCTGGATGGGACACTTGGAAGAATATTTCATACTTCTTTTGGTTTTTAAGACATTAATAAGCCAAATAATAATAATAATAATAAGAAATTAATATATAATATTAAACAACAGATAATGAAAATATGTTATAGATGAAAACCAATTATGTTGCTTGAATTTGAAGATCTTTGGTGTAAAAATTCAAGTAAAAAGGAGAATATTCATTCTCTTTTTGAAGGAGAAAGGTTCATAAATCTAATGAAAAAATACATTTCTTTGCAAATTTAATGTTGCAAAAGAGAAAAATTTCAGAGCTTACTATAATCAGAGATAGTTTTGGCTCTTTTAGCTGCTGTACGTGCAGTCTTCCTTACTCTATGTTTCGTTTGGGATAGCTTTCTTCTTGCTTTCTAAAACAGCCTTCTTATAAAAATTTTTAAAAATACTATAAAACCGTTTTAGAAAGCAGTACAAAAATAGCCCCAAATGAAGCTTTAGAATCTCTAGCTGGTAATCTTCTTAGGTTCATAACGTTGGCAGCTGATAAGAGAATTGTAAGAGGCAATTGGTCTTCCAAATCTATTAGTCTAGCTATGAGCATAATATATATGCACAAAGTTAATAAATATAATACTGAAAGTATTATTTTGCTTGATAGATCTGAATTAACTATATAGCTTGTGAGTTCTTATGCCAAGTACTTGTGAGTGCCCTGCTATGTACTTTAACATTGGCAATGGCTTCATATCAATGGGGTATAGCAATGAAACTAAAGGTTTATAGCTATGGCTTCATTCTTATTAACAAATACATGGTAGAAAATAAAATAAGAAAAGACTGATCCAGATGTTTTGAGCCAAGTTAGAATGAAGTTTATAATCATTTTTTTTTTCTGCAAATTTTATTCTTTTTATGAAATTAATTATGATTTAATTATTTCCAATTTGGGGCACAATTTTAGTATTTATTTTGATTAGCAAATAATTTTCAAAAATATTGCCGTTGAAATGTCAACATAGACCAATTAACATCTAATACAAAAAAGTTATGCAATTATTTAAGCGAATTAACTAGCAATTAATATTTCTAATGGTTGTCAGTTAGATTTCTAGTTAGCTTAATGTTGTTAATTCTCTGCAGTTAACCATAATTGGAATCTTAATTAATTTCTGTCTTCAATAGGCAAAAGATGCTCTTTTTGATATATATAGCTCTATTTCTTATGTGAGTTATAAAATGAAAATTGCATGTTAGTTGGCACATTTTCAAATGAGGAATTAATTGCTTGACATCTGCTGGTGACATTATTAAGACTGATGATAGATAAAAAAGGACCAAATTAAGCTTTAAAACAAGTCTAGAATTAGTATGCTCATACTAATCAAAAATATATTTACATTAAGATTTCATTTGGGATAGTTTTCTTACTGCTTTCTAAAGAAACTTCTAAAGATAATTTTTTTTATATCACTAAGATTTTGTTTGGGATTGCTTTCTAAAGTAGGTTTTTAGTACAAAAATTCATTGTTCAAGAAAAAATTTGTACTAAAAAGCTGTTTTTGAAAACATTAAAAAAATGTCTCAAATGAAGCCTAAGTATACTTTAGTAGCTGTTTTCTTCTTTTGTGCTTCTATGTAATAAATTAAAGCCAATGATCATGTTGGTCTTTACTAACAGGCTCTATTTATAATTAAAATCTTATTGATAGACAAAAATAAAAAATTCTTTCAATGGGACTGAGGCCTTTCTCTGAGCAAAATCCCCATTTTAACTCGTTATTACAAAAGATGGAAAGGCTAGGTAAGATATAATTTATCTCTTTCATCTCGTTCAGGTTCTTTCTACTTTTATTTTCCAAGATAAATTATGGTTCGAAAGTTCAGGCATTTTAGTTTGAAACTATGAGAAGAAAATGTTTTTCTCCATCTAGTTGAAAGTTGATTCCCCACCAGAAAATCACTAAGTGTTGAGGCAATTTTTCATATCTCAATAAGTGGAAGTATTCAAATCAGAAATATCCAACAAGCTTGATTTCTTAGTTATGATATCATTAAGGCAATAAGATATTCCATTTTTAGAGGGTCTTTTTCATTCTACAACGTCTCTTTGGCTCTCTCGAGGCGGTTTCCAAGCGATTCTAGGGTTTGGCCGTCCGTGCGTCTCCGCGGCGTTCTTCGGCTAGTTTTCTCTGCTTAACCGGTGTCCTCTAACCATTCCTCCTTATGCTTTTCTATTTTTGTTCGGGTGTTCTTTTCTTTTTTTGGTTTTTTGGTGTTTTCTCGTTTTGCCTTGTGGCTTTCCTTCGCTTTGTTCTTTTAGGTTTCTTCTTTTTCTTCCGATTTTTCTTGCGGTGTTCTGGTTTGGTTGGCCTTTAGGTTCTTCTTTCTGGGGGGATGACGACTCCGTCGTCATCTAACCCTATGGTCGCTTCGGTCCCTAATGGTAAACCCTGTTCTTTTATAGATGCATTAGCTGGTGAGGGGGGTTCTTCCTTTAACCTGAAATTTGTTCATTATTCGTTCAAAGGGTGTCCTGCTCTTTTGATTGATGATTCGGTTGTAGCTCAGCTTGCTAAGCCCTTTGCTCTGACTCTTGTGGGAAAGTTTGTGCTTAAGCGTCCTAACATTGATGTGATCCGAAAGTTTTTTTACAATCTTAAGCTGTCTAGTACTTTTCATATTGGTTTACTTGATCCTAGGCATGTAGCTATTCAATTGACTAATGATCTGGATTATAGCAAGATTTTTTCTAGAGGCTCTTACTACATTCAATCTTGTCAGATGTGCATTCTTAAATGGACTCCAGATTTTGATGTTCGTCATGAATCGCCTATTGTTCCGGTGTGGGTTTCTTTCCCTAACCTTAGACTGCATTTTTTCAATACTCATATTCTATTTGGTTGGGCTTCTATCCTTGGACGGCCGCTGCAAACGGATCAGGCTACGGCTTCGGTTTCCCGTCCGTCTGTGGCAAGGATTTTGGTTGAGGTGGATATTTCTAAAAAATTTCCTAATGAGATTTGGCTGGGCTCCGAACTTAACGGATATTTTCAAAAAGTAGAATTTGAAAACTTTCCCATTTTTTGTGCGTACTGTAAGATGCATGGGCATAGTTTGAATGAATGTTTTAAGCTACATCTCAATCTTAAGAAATCTAAAGAGAATTCCAAGATCATTAAAATGCCAGAAGCCAATACGGTTAAAGACAGTAATCATATTGTGATGGAAGAAAATGGTGTCTTGACGATTAGTAATGTGGTTGAAGTGCAGCCTGATTTTCAGGCTGTTATTATCCCGTCTGTCATTCGTCCTAATGAGCTTCCTGTATGTGTTGTGGGGGATGGTGTTGCTAGTAATGGGGGGAAGGGAATGTTTCTTAAGACAAGGTTAACAATATGGTGTATAACTCTCCTTCTCTCACTGCTTTTGATTCTTCTCAAACTATTAACAATGCTAATGTGGAAGAAGTTAATAATTTAATGGCTGTCAAAACTAATGATTTTATTGAGACTCTCCATGTTATACAAGATGGGTCGCAAGCTTTGGTTAACTCTTCTTTACAGCTTCGGGCTACTGTTAAAGACATTGAGAATGACGTGGTTGAGGAGGTGGAGCCTTCTCATCATCTAGCTGATTCTATTCAATTACAGATTGAGGAACATTCTATAGAGGATCATGAGAGTAACTCTAAACTTGATAAAGGTAAATGTCCTATGCACTACGGGAAAACACCCGATTACCGTCGGATTTTTCCGGCGGAAAATTGTGCGCCGGTAATAACGGCGCAGGCAACGGCGGAATCGTTCGACGAAAATTTTGCGTCAACATTTCCGGCACAAAATACGCCGTAAATTTATCGACGCCGATTCCGCCGGCAAATCCGACGGTATAGGAATGTCTGAACCATTTCCGTCGCACGTTACGGCGGAACTGTTCCGGCGTACGTTACCGGCGGACATTGCGCCGGCGTATTTAAACTCAATGAAATATTGCCGACGGATGTTGCGTCGGAAATTATCACTACATGAAAAACATCTCATTTCCGACAGAATTTCCGACGGAAATAAAAAATTAAATTTTTTTTATTTTAAAATATAACTTAAATTATTGAATTTAATAACTTAAATTATAATAAAAAAATTTATTATTTAATTATTTAATAACAAAAAATTAAGTGATTTAAAATTATTTATATTGTTAAATTAAGTGAATTAATTTTAATTTTTTGTTAAATTAAATTAATGATTTTATAATTAATAGGATATAGGTTAAATTCTGATGCCTATACTGATACAGAAATTGATATTTTAGCTAAATGCTATGCTAGAGAAGATAATGACATTAGCTTCTCTAAGAGTCGTGGTAAGAGGGGCAGACAGCCTAGAAGTGTTATTCTACAATCTCCCAGAAGCACTAGATCGCATACTTCTCATTAATTTTTTTTATGTTTAACATTATTATTTGGAACATTAGAGGGATCGGTTGCCCCTCTTCTAAACTTAGGGTTAAAAACTTATGTCGCATTCATAACATTGCTATTCTTATTTTATTGGAGCCTCTCATTTCTATGGATAAATTACCTAGAACTGCTAGGTATTTGGGTTTTAACAATGCTAAGTCGAATATTGCTAGCAAAATTTGGATCTTTTGGAAAGATTTTGTTAGAATTGATATCATTGGTGATTTTATTCAAGTAATTCATTATAATATTGAAAGTTCGAATGTTCAATGTTGTGCCTCTTTTATCTATGCTGCTACTTCTCGTTATTACAGGAGGGTTTTGTGGGAGCAACTTTTGCAATTTAATAATGTCTGTAACCTTCCGTGGTTGGTTGGGGGGGACTTTAATACTATCTCTAAACCGGATGAACGGCTGGGTGGGTCTCTTCCTATTTATCAATCCATGGATGAATTTAATGATATGATTTTGGCTTGTAGTCTCATGGATATTGGTTACTCGGGTAACAGATTTACTTGGCACAGGGGGCATTTGTGGCAAAGATTGGATAGTGTTCTTTTCAATAATTCATGGGTGAACACTTTTAATTTGACCAAAGTTGAGCATCTTAGTCGCACTTTGTCGGATCATTCTCCTTTGCTTATTAATATTAAGAATAACCCTATCAATATTCCTAATCAATTTAGATTTCAGAATATGTGGATTCTTCATGATTCCTTTCTTGATGTGGTACAAGTGAATTGGAATGCTCTTGTTTTTCCTGATGATTCTATTAGTGGCATGTATAGACTTTGGCTTAAGCTCAAAAGGCTCTTAAGGTTGTTTTGAATTGGTGGAATCATAATATTTTTAAAAACTTGTTTAACAACATTCTTCTTGCTGAGACTAATATTAATAACATTGACGATCTTTGTCAGTATAATCCCTCTGAGGCCAATTTGTGCAGCCTTAATGAAGCTAAAGGGGAGCTCTCTAAGGGAGCTCTCTAAGCTTCAGGTTCAGGAGGAAGCCTTCTGGAGATAAAAAGCGTCTATCAAACATTTAGTGGAGGGTGACATGAACACTAAGTACTTTCATTCTTTAGTTAATAAGAAACGGTCCATTAACCATATTCATAAAATGGCTACTGATAATGGTTCTTTTACTAAAGATAAAGATGAGATTGCTAGTTTGGCTGTTAATTTCTTTAAAAGTCATATGAATAAAACTTTTATTCCTAATACTTATGTGGAGGCTAATATTATTCTGAATGTCATTTCTGTTGAGAATAATGGTAATCTCTCTAAGGTTCCTCTTTTGGATGAAATTAAAGATATTTTATTTAACATGAATGTGGATTCTGCTGCTGGTCCGGACGGGTATACCATTTAGTTTTTCCAATCTACTTGGTCTATTATTGCTAACGATGTTGTTCATGCTGTTGAGTACTTCTTTAACAGTTCTCCTATTCCGAAATTCTTTACTTATACTTTTGTGGTTTTAATTCCTAAGAACTCTGCTGTTAATTCTTGGAATGATTTCAGGCCTATTAGTTTATGCACTGTGTTTTATAAATTTATTTCTAAACTTCTGATGAGTAGGGTTTCTACCTTATTGCCTAAATTCTTTACTTATACTTTTGTGGTTTTAATTCCTAAGAACTCTGCTGTTAATTCTTGGAATGATTTCAGGCCTATTAGTTTATGCACTGTGTTTTATAAATTTATTTCTAAACTTCTGATGAGTAGGGTTTCTACCTTATTGCCTAAGATCATTTCCCCTTTTCAAATGGGGTTTGTTAAAGATCGTGCTATTGCTGATAATATTCTCTTGGCCCAGAAATTTTGCCAGGATCTAGACATTAAGGTGAGAGGTGGTAACATGATAATGAAATTGGACATTGCTAAAGCCTATGATAATATTAATTGGTCGTTTATTTATAAAATTTTGAGCCTTTTTGGTTTTGATTTAAAGTTCATTAATCTTATTAAATCTTATATTGAAAGTCCTTTTTATTCTATTATTGTGAATGGTAAGATTCATGGTTACTTCCAAGCTTCTCATGGGTTGAGACAAGGGGATCCTTTGTCTCTGGCTATCTTTATTATCGCTGCGGATTACTTATCTCGGGGTTTGGCTAATCTGTTCTATAATTGTCTTAGTTTATATTTCAAAACTCGGGGTGGTTTTCATATTTCTCATTTATGTTTTGCTGATGACTTCATTGTTTTTTCTAATGCTTACAAGAATAAGATTAGAAAGATTTTGAGAATTTTTCATCATTTTGAAGCTGTTAGTGGGCTCTTCTTTAACAAACAAAAATATTCTTTTATTATTTCTAAGAATGTTGTTAATGATCGTATTTTGGACATTAGAAATCTTACTGGCTTTTCTCTTGGTGTTTTTCCTTTGAAGTACTTGGGGATCCCTCTTTTTAAAGGTAGGAAAAGAGCTTTTCTTTTTGATGATTTAATTTCTTCTATTCAGAATAGATTGTTTTCTTGGAATTCCTTTTTTTTTAAGTTATGGTGGTAGGATTGCTCTGATAAAAAGTGTTCTTTGTTCTCTGCCAGTTTATAGTTTTTAAACTATCATGCCTACTAAGGGTGTTTGTGTTAGAATTGAGAGGATTTTAAATAAATTTTTTTGGAATGATTCTGGGTCTAATTCTAAGATTCATTGGAAGAATTGGAAAGGGTGTTGTGGCATTAAGCAGGAAGGTGGTTTAGGTTGTAAAGATATGGCTGACTTGGCTTAGGCTTTCTCCTTGAAACTTTGGTTCAATTTCAGATCTAATGTTAGTCTATGGGCCAAATTTATGAAAGAAAAATATTGTGCTGAGAAACATGCTTCCCTGGCTTGCTACTCTATGGGTAATTCTAAAGTCTGGCAATGTATCTGTTCTGTTAAATGGATTATGGAACCCTTGCTTGCTTGGGGTCTTGGTAATGACAATATCTTCTTTTGGTAAGATAGGTGGCTTAATGGTGAATACATTGACTCTTTACTCAATACTATTTATGTTTCTAATATCAAGGTGAATTATTTCTTTTTTGCTAATGGTTGGGATTTGGAGAAGCTCTCTGCTTTCCTTCCGGATAATATTATTCAAATGATTACTAATATTTCCTTTAATAGCAATGTGGGGGATATGCTCCTGTTTTCGGGGTCTAAGGATGACTCTTTTAGCATTAAGAACGCATGAAACTATTTTCGTACCAAGAAAGATACTTCTAAACTTTTTAAAAGCATTTGGCATAACACTATTCCTCACACTGTTTCTGTTTTTATTTGGAGAACTTTGCATAATTTCTTAATTACTTTCTGATTATAATTTAAGGAAGAAAGGTCTCATTATTACCCTAAATGCTAATGCTATTTTCATATCGATAATATGCATCATATTTTTTATTTCTAGTCCTATTGCGATTAAGGTTTGGACTTTTTATGAGGAGATTTTTCATTTGAATGTTTACAGCTCTACTCTTTCTATTTCCCAGCTTCTTGACCTTTGGTTTGTTGACTTCAAAGGGCATATTAGAAATGTTATTTCTTGTCTCATTTGTTGGTATATTATTTGGTTGGCAAGGAATGACTCTAGATTCAATGGGGAGATTATGGATCACCATCGGATTATTAACAAGATTAAAGATAAGGTCTTTTCTCTTTTCATTGCTAAGGTGCTGCCTATTAAGAATTTTAATATTTTTTTTTCATACTTTGTCATTTTTTGCCATTTCTGGAGATTGGAATATTGCCATTATGAAACCTTGTTGTGTTAGTTGGTGTAACCTAATCATAACCATCATAAAATGAATGTGGCGTGGATTAAAGTGGGTAATACCTTTAGTTATGCGGGTATTATCAGGAATCACCTGGGGAGTTCTCTCTGGTTTTGCTGCTCCTGCAGTGGTGGAGGATTTGCATTTGGTGATTTTCATGGCTGTGATGAGGGGGATTAATCTGTGTAATCGTCTCAATATTGATAACATTATCTTAGAAGCTAATTTCCCTTTAGTTACCCTGATTGATACTGGTAGTCATATTATGCCTTGTGCTCCCTCTTTATTTTATTTCAGGAGAAGGATTTTTCAGAAGCTGAGTCTTTTTTTTCATTCCTTCTCTGTTATCAATAGGGAGGTGAATGCAGTTGCCCAGGCGATGGCTCTTCTAGGGACTGTGTTCAAGGACTTTAAGGAATTGAGCTTGGATCAATTGCATGTTTACATTACAGGTCTTCTATACTTAGATCAAACTGGTTTTCCTTATGTTTACCATTAATTCGGTTACTCTTTGTGGGTGGTTTCTATCTAATGGCTTGATTTTTTCCATCCTGGCGGTTGTGGTCTTTCGGGCCTTTTTGGGTGGTGTTTGGTGGTTTATTTTGTTGTGTTCTCTTCTCCTGTTAGGTTTGTTGCAGGTCTTGGTTGTGCTTTTGTTCCTTCTTTGCTGCCGGAGTGGTTGGTGACTGCTATTTTACTGGACCTATTTTATGGGTGACTCTAACTTGTTTGTTTTTCTTAGTTTTTTTCTGGTGGTTTCAGGGTTGCTTAGCTTGCCTGGATTGGTTATGGTGTGGATTGTTTTGGAGCTGTTTTCTCAGTTTGGTGGGGTTTGGTTGAAGGGTATCCTTGTTTTTGGTTTCCTTTTGTTTCTTTTTTGTTGTTTTTTTCTGTTGTTTTTGTAGGTCTGCTTCCCTCTTCAGGGAGTTTTTGCTAAGGAAGTCTGGGCTGATTGGAAATCTTTTGAGCTTTCTTATTTTTGGGCACTCCTTCTGTGCCGCCTTAGAATGTTACTAGGTAATTTTGTATTACTTATAGGTGGGGATAATCGGCTCTTAGGTTTTTTTGGTCTTTTTGATAATTGTAGCTCCTTGAGCAGTAGTGGGCTGATGGTCCCCTTAAGGACTTGTAATTTTCCATTATATCAACGCGTAGGCCCCTCCGTGGGTTAAAAAAAAAAGGTAATAAGATATTTGAAAATCTTAATTTACCAAGGGGATCAACTTTGTGTATGATTGAAGTGAAAATGATCAGAATGCTCCATCAAAAAGATTATAATTGGAACATGTTTCTAAACATTCAGAGAGGATTCTTGAAGAATTTTTTTTTCAAATTTAATAAGAGAGTTTCAAAGCACTGGTTGTCAACACATAATGTTTGTCGTGAGGCTTGTCGTAAATGCTCATCGTGAATTGTCTGGACATCCATCGGTGTCCTTCATTAACGCTAGCATATTTTTGTCAAACCTAGTCAATGAAGATCTCTATGGCACAATCAAACTCAACCCAATTGGCTCTCTTAAGCCTATGATATGTTCATTTCCATGATGAATTTGCTTGTCTCAATTGAGTACTCTTTATAATGAAATATAATGTTTAGTCCAAGAAAAGTTCCCTATGCATGGGTGCAAATGTTTGCACACACTGGCCTCGATCTTGACAACCTTTAGGAGTCGTCCCTCTTTTTTTTTTTTTTTTTTTGAAGAAATGCTAGAAGCAATTTTATTATAATAAAGCAAAGAACAAGAACCTAAGTAAAAAAACACCTATCACATTCCTTCTTTAATAGTAAAAAAAAAAAAGAGGAGGAACCTTATTTCTATCCAAATTATCCCAAACAAAATCAAAAGAACAAGCATAGTTAGCACAACAATTTGCTAACTTATTGCAATCCCTATTCACAAATTGAATAATCACTTGATTAAAATTTCTGAGAAAGAAGAAATCATCTTGCCTTGAGCCGTTATCTTTGATTATTTCTTTCTTCATAACTTTTTGAACAAATATCATAACATAATGATTATCTCCTTCGATAATGATTCCTTTCGCCTCATACATCCATTCTTGAATCAGCTTCCTCAAGGATAGAATTGCTTCCATCTCCAAAACCGAGCAATCCCAATGCAAGCATTTAAAACCAAAGGCAAACAAATATATGCCTTTGATGTCTCTTATTACACCACCTACTCCTGCATAATATTATTTATCAAGAGAGGCATCAACATTAAGTTTAATCCAATTGGTTGGAGGGCGATCCCAAGCG